TATTCAGAAATTTCTCATGAGTTGGGTGAACGGGCAGTGTGACAGCAAGAGAAATTGGATGCTCATAAATAAAATCCACAATATTAGAGCAAAAATGTTGAGCTACTAATCCTTGCTAATAAGTTCTTAATTGGCTAAATCAAGTGAAGACAAACCTGGTCATCATTACACAGCATTTGTCCATCCAAAATCGGTAAGTCTGAGCAAATAAATAGTGAGAAGTAAAATAATACAGAACTCTAATGACAATCCAACAAACATTGTTTATCAAATTTCAAAAGAATCTGCACAAAAGCATGGAGAACATCCAAGGAGGGATTTAAAAATGGAAAATATTTACTTCAAAATCAAAGAGGATTTTGTTCCCTCAAAGCTTCTGTGGAGAAGTCCCAAGAGAGAACTGGCAAAGGATAGCTAAAAGTATTAAAAAAAATCACAACTAATATTCAGAATTGGGATCAGGTTTTCCTCCCTGTGGCGGTGTGCTCTCCCCCTCACCCCCCCCAGCTCCTGCTCAAGCCATAACCATCAGTGGGTTGCACCTGGACTTTGGGCAACGCAGCCAAACGCCGTCTGGAGTGGGGACCTAGGCGTTTTGTTCCTATGCAAATATCACTATAGGTCAATTATCTTACTCTATAAATAGTGGACAGAGCCCTTTGAGCTCTCCCACATGGCAGCGGCTGCACGCCGGGACCGACCCTTGAGTGGGGATGCCCACTTAAGGTTGCTCCTCGAGGTTGAAAGATTCCTTGCTGCAACAGATTCTTGGTGAGTGGTTAATGGCATGCTAAACTTTGACATAAAGGATGGATTGTGCATATATAATCCTTCAGACATAAACCACTGGCCAAGCCTGGGACGAGGACTGGATCCAGCCGCACCCAGACTCCGCTCTGAGAAGGGGTTTAGGAAGCCGGGGGGTCCTTTCTGAACCTCCTGCCTCAACGGGAGGGTCTCCCTGACAGCTTCTCTCACCCTGGCCTCGCTGCAGTAAATAACCAAGTTTACCTGGCTGTACAGCTCATAAAACACTGTCACATTCCCTACCAACTTTGTTAAATCCCCATTTTATATTAATAAATATTTCACTACTTCTCTCTTATGAGTGAAGTTAGTCAAAATCACCCCACCCGCGACACGCCCTCCACGCATCATCGTTTAAAATTAGAAAGTCTTCCTCATTTAATGAAGTCAAAGGTTGACAAATTCAAATGAGACACTGTAGTATGTGGTTAATTTGTGATACCCATTTCAACACTGCATCAACAAAGCCAAGAGCTGGAAAGGTCTGAAGAGAGATTTGAGTGGGAAAAAGGTGTAAGATAGGTAGTGGGGATATCCAGAATTCAAATAGTAATCATAGAAAATATTTTGGAAAGCTACAGAGTTTAAATCAACTTGTAACTGTTACATTGAGAAGAAATTTAGGCTCAGATTATCCCATATTTGCCTACTATATAGTTTCTCGCACTTTCCCCTGAAGCCTAAGGTTGGCAAAAAGCTTCTGAATTAGGTTATTCAATTCTGTGCATAAATTCTAGTTTTTTGTCTAGATTTTTATCTAGATTTTCTAACTATAGGATTCCCAAATTGGTTTATGTTTATGCCTACTTGAACACGAAAAGTCTCTGTGTATATATATAGAATCATAGAATCATAGAATCATTGAGGTTGGAAGAGACCCTTGGGATCATCGAGTCCAACCATCTCCCCTACTCTACAAAGTCCTCCCCTACACCATGTCCCTCAGCACTGCATCTAAACGGCCCTTAAACACATCCAGGGACGGTGACTCCACCCCCTCCCTGGGCAGCCTGTTCCAATGCCCGACCACTCTTTCAGTGAAAAATTCCTTCCTAATGTTCAGTCTAAACCTCCCCTGTTGGAGCTTGAAGCCGTTCCCTCTCGTTCTATTGTTAATTACCTGTGAGAAGAGACCAATATTGGTGCTTACTATAATCTTACTAGCATGTACATGGGGCCTTTTCGCAACTACTCATTTTGCACACACACATCACACATTTGCTGTTGCCAGTGGGTGAGTGTTTTGGGGCTGGAAGCTGAACATCTGCTTGCGTGCTTTGGTGAGGAGAAGGAGAGACTGAGTTCTCCTATAGCACATCTTTCACCTGAAGGCCCGCGAACTGAGACCATCTACTTGTTTTAAACATTTAGATGACCTATCCCATCCTAAAGGAGGTAGACTTGGATGCTGGAAGTCTTTTAGGACTGAAAAAGTAGCATCTCAAAGATATATCCTGGCCCACCTCCATAGTGATACCTAAGGCAGATCTTATGTAGTTTATTATTGGTGCTTACTATAATCTTACTAGCATGTACATGGGGCCTTTTCGCAACTACTCATTTTGCACACACACATCACACATTTGCTGTTGCCAGTGGGTGAGTGTTTTGGGGCTGGAAGCTGAACATCTGCTTGCGTGCTTTGGTGAGGAGAAGGAGAGACTGAGTTCTCCTATAGCACATCTTTCACCTGAAGGCCCGCGAACTGAGACCATCTACTTGTTTTAAACATTTAGATGACCTATCCCATCCTAAAGGAGGTAGACTTGGATGCTGGAAGTCTTTTAGGACTGAAAAAGTAGCATCTCAAAGATATATCCTGGCCCACCTCCATAGTGATACCTAAGGCAGATCTTATGTAGTTTATAAATGGCTAAACTGTAGAGGATCTTCTTTTAGAGAAGAAATACAGCTATCTTAGTAACCATCCCAAATGGTTTCAAGGACTTAGTAAGATAAGAAAGGATGTCTGTGGCCCTGAGGACATGGTGACCTAAGACAGGGATGCAATAAATGTGGACATTGTCTGACAAACAGGTGGTAGCAGAGAGATCATTAGTTTTAATGAGCAATTAAGCAGTTAGTATGTTTTGCCAACATGAAAAGTGAGCCAAAGGACAGGTGAAGAAGATTGAGGAAGAAACGCTCAAAATAAGGACCACCAGAAGGCACAACTACGCATGCCCAAAAGCTTATTATAATATGTAAATGAATTCTCAGAAATATAATGAATATGCTAGTGTTTTCTTGGAATTACATTGAATATGTACACCTGTACACCTCAGGTGTGGGGCTTATGTCTGCCTTGTGGATCAAGGAGGGGTATTTATTGGGTCCTACCAGGCTGGGAGGTGTCTTCTCCCCAAGGAGGTGGCTGTTGGGCACCTGAGGTGGGACTCCTCTGGGCATGTTCCCACCAGTCTCCAACTGGACTCCCACATGTTCATCCTCAGACAGACATTCAGGAGCAGCGTAGCCAGCAGGAGCAGGGCAGTGATGGTGCCTCTGGACCAGGCACTGGTGAGGCCTCACCTCCAGGGCTGGGTTCAGTTCTGGGCCCCTCACTACAGGAAGGACATTGAGGGGCTGGAGCGTGTCCAGAGGAGAGCCACCAAGCTGGGGAGGGGTCTGGAGAACAAGTCCTACGAGGAGAGGCTGAGGGAACTGGGCATGTTGAGTTTGGAGAAGAGGAGGCTGAGGGGAGACCTCCTTGCCCTCTACAACTCCCTGAAAGGAGGGTGTAGAGAGGTGGGGGTTGGCCTCTTCTCCCAAGGGAATAACGACAGGAGCAAAGGAAATGGTCTGAAGTTGGGGCAGGGGAGGTTTAGATGAGATCTGGGGAAGAATGACTTTCCTGAGAGGGTGGTCAGGCCCTGGAAGGGTCTGCCCAGGGAGGTGGTGGAGTCACCATCCCTGGAGGGATTTAAGAAGGGTGTAGACGTGGCACTTCAGGGCATGCTCTAGTGCCCGGGATTGTTGGGTTGTGTCTGTTTGTAGGGGTCTTTTTTGGTTTTTATTTTTAGTGGTTGGACTTGATGATCTCAAAGCCGCCGCCCCTCACGCCTGGCCGGGGGAAGGGGGAGGCGAAGGCGGCCCCCGGTGCCGCCGGGGGTGTCGGGGCGGCGGTTGGAGGCTCGGGGCTGGCTGCCCCCCGGGGTAAAACGTTTCTGCGTTTTTTCAAGAACTGTGATGTTTTCTGTCACTTTTGTTGAGACGCTGCTGTGTCCCTCGCTCTTGCCTGGTGGCCACCACCAAAAGCTGGAGACGCGGTACCGACCCCCAGGGGGGTCCTCCCGCCGCGGGCGGGGACACCGCCACCCCGCCGGGGATCCCGCCTGAGGGC